GTACCCCGTCGCCGGAATTGGACAACAGAAAGGTGAGGAACCTGGATTCGCACCCAGTCGTCGAAATTGATCTACACGCGCCGATCGACATCTTGTTGTCGTCGATCAAAGACAAGCTCAGCAAAGCGCACGCAGCATTTTGAGAGATTGACTAGAGCAGTCACGGCGTGTTCTTGCGTCCACGGATCGGTACACCAGAGGAGTGGAATCAGTGTTGGAACGGCACCGGATTCACCGATCAAAGCTGGAACGGCACCGGATTCACCGATCAGAGCTCGATTATCGAACCGGTTTTTCGCCAGGAGTCGCAGTTTCGCCGCAGCCAATCTCTTTACCGTGATCGATGACGATTGGAGACTGTCGATGCAGATTTTGACCGTCGGTTGAAAGTCCTTTGGCGATATGTTCTCGATTATCTCCGTCGAGAAGTTCTCGCGTTGCAGAAACCCCAACCTCAGGGACCGTCTTGATTGGCGAGTGGTTTCTCTCTCTCTCCCCTTTCTCTCTGAAAGCACACGGCGGTTCGCAGAAGGGATGGTGGCAGTGAATTGGTTTAAGGGTAGTTTGGTCCATTTAAAATGAATTTTATTGTCATTTTTTTTACATTACAAGGATAATAGTGTCTTTTTATGTTATTGATGGGCATTTTAGTCGCTTTAAACTAATTTTCTGATAAAAAACATTATTTTCTGTATGGAGGGGAGGTCATTGCAGAATGGAGAAAATATCAGGGGGTCACACTGCAACAAAATAGCAAACCTCTAGTTTAGTTGTCTATATCCAAACCTCAGGGGAGGTCATTTTAGTTTGTTCAAAATACAAAGGTTTCCAACTGAAATCACAAGCGAAGTGAGAAAAGGGAGAGAGGCAATAAATAAATCTCCTCCATGTTCTTCAATTTAAACAAAAATAATAATTAATTCATTCAAATTCAAGCTATATTATAAATAATAATACATCAACAACTCACAAAACAGATTCTTGATTGGTTATTTCTGTGGTTGTCAGCAGCATTAAAGAGATTAGGAATTTATTTGAAGATATAAGGCCATTGGATATATCAAATTACCGAAACTTGATACGAGATTAATGATGAGAAGTTTGAATTCTTGACAACCTTAACACGTGATTCATAATCGCCACAGCAGCCCAGATTCTCACTCTCCGCCGCCGATCTCCTCCTTACACTACCCCTCTGCACCCTACATGCTCGTCGCCCTCAGCAGCCTATTAGGCCTCCCACCGGAAAAATAATGCATCACGGACATGGAAGATATGTTAGAAATAGAGGGGAAACGGGTTTGTTTTTTCCAGGCTTTAATGATTTGGGCATTTAGGTCATTTAGTAAGTCTATTTTATATTAAAAATTAATTAAATATTAAGAGGCTAATTAGACATTTTACAATCCTTTTTATGTCAAAAAGTTGACAGGAATGTATTGTTTAAAAATGGACCAAGTTTTTTATTGCCTTATGAATAAGGCAAATCTCACATAGTGTTATTATGAGTAGAGAGTTTTCCTATTAATGTAGATTGTAGAGTCCTGAAAAGTGTTAAAGATTCTATAATATTTGACAGCTTTTTAGGGTAACAGTAAATATTTAGAGTGGATGTAGAGTATTTTAGGAAGCTGTATGTCTATAAATAGGAAAGGAGTCATTTGTAACCAACAAGCTCTAGATGTGAAATAGCTTCATACAATAGTAATAAAATTGTAGAAATTATTTTTGTAGAAAACGAAATTGGGCAAGTGTGCTTTACTGTAAGGTATGGAAGCCCCTTGTTGTGACTAAAAATAATAGGATCTGACAACTTATGTTCGATATCAATCTGGCCTTAAAGATAAAAATTATAGTATCTGACTATTGATATTCAAAATCAATTTTGAGCAGCCGCTACACTAATTTTGTAATGTACAGTACATTTAAAACCGTAATGACTAATGATACAAGCATTTGACAATGGTGTAAAATAATAACATAATGTACGCCATGTTATTAATTAATTATTTTATTTTGTCATACAAGTAGAAATACTGACGTAACATGTTTTCTTCTTCTTTTAATTAGCAATTTATAATTTAGATGCATCATTGCGTCTTTTATTTGGATTTTTTGGGCCACTTATTTGTTTCTTGTAGTGGGCTTTTCAGTCCACGCACTAAGTCACGAGAAAGTATTAAATATTCGGGATATGATACCCGGGTCATCCCACCCTTTAGATGTGAGACTCACCACCACAATATTATACTCAAACATAAAATAATAATAATAATAATAATTGTAAACTTGTCAGTGGTGGCTATGGTTTTTATTTTTTCGGTTTGTTTGCACAGGTTAAGCTACTATGATTAAGATTTGGGTTAGGGATTGAAATGAGGATGCAAATAACTTGTGGTTCAAAATGACAAATTATATTAGGAATAAGGCGAAAAAGATTTTGGGCTAAACAAAAGGGAAATTGGACTGGATGTGAAATCTGAGACGAACTCAAACTGAGTTCCCAGCCCAGGTACCTTATACGTACCATTAGTCATGGGCCACCATCAAAATTGCGCCCAATGTTAAAAAAGAACCTAATTGACTACTCCAGGCCCAACTCTGAGGAGTGAAGACCAAGTAATTATTTCTAAGCATCAGCATGAACCAATTTTTAGTTTGCATTTGCATGCAAACTAACACTGTCCTTCTCAGGCTTATAAATATGGCAAGCAGTGCGTGTGGCGGACAACTTAGGTTTCTATGCAGTCTTATACTGACACCGATCCATAATAAGAGCTACATGATATATCTAATGGATATTCGTGTTCTTTCCGCCATGAAAAACATTGTATACACACCTTTATATCTATATATATATATATATATATATATAAGCGTTTGTTCATATGTGTATATATTTATATGTACTTCCATATCTTTGTTTTACAAGTCTTATGTAGTTCCAAACTTTCATTTGTTCTTTCATGGCTTCTGATTCTCTTCTTGTATGGTGGTAAAATGGTGATGCATGGAACAAAAAGGACTCTTTGTTTTTTGTTTTCGTGGCAAGAAACACGATCAATGTCAGTTTGACAAAGGACACCATCCAATCTTTCATGTAACAAAGGTCCAGCCGTGATATTCAAGGCGGAGTTAGGATTGCAAAGTGAGGGGCTAAAGATATAAAAATTTAAAAATGAACACAATAATTTTTATAACAAAGATATGTTATATATATTCAAAAATAGCAAAAAAAATTAATAATAATAATAAAATAAGTGATGGCCTTGTAGGTTTGGTTACACTAAAAGAGCTATTTGAATGGAATGAATATTCTCTTATAAGATAAGTGAGATTTCGTCAACCTGTTACTTCTTTCTTTTTGTTCAAGGAGTTGCTCATTGCAGAGCTGGGCCATTTGCTATTTTTGTTTTATTATGGATTGGGCATGGGCTGGGCTATGACTGATTGGGTTGAGTTATGGATGATAGGACGTAGTAGTACTAATTTTTTTTTTTTAAGACCTGGGCTATAGCCCAGGTTAGCCCACGCTAAGTTACGCCCTTGCTGATATTGTAACCCCATTAGGGGCGGAGTTGGTGTGTGCCATATCCCTGGCCTGCCAAGTATAAAATTTGTTTATTTTATTTTATTTGTATATTTATAAGAAAAAATTCTATATAATTCTCCTTAATATTTTAATCTCTAAAATTAGTTCCTAAAGTTTTCTTTATTTTCTCTTTTGCTCTTAAATTTTCTTAAAAAAAAAGGTTAAATTTTTCTTCTTCAATCAAAGTCTAATTTTTTTTTCCTTTTTTTTTTTTTGACTTACTAATAATGTATATAGTATGAAAATTTTTTTTTCCCCTTTCGTTCTTATTTGAATTTATTACCATAATTTATGAAGTTAATGGTGTGATTTTCATGCATCGCTTTCAAAATATAAAGACCTACAACTATATTTAAAAAAAATAATAATAAATAAATAATACTTAGTTCTTATATTGCCAAGTACTTATATTTTGTACCGTAAATTACACTGACACCCCTTGAGATTATGTCATATCTCATCTAGATGAAAATTTTGGTTTTTCACTTACATCCTAATTTACTTTTTGGCATCTGACATATATGAATGGACCTTTTTACCTTCAATTTTTTAATACAAAATATCTATAACCTTAAATGACAAAAAGACCCATTAACCTTAAATGACAAAAAGACCCATTATGGGTCTTTTTGTCATTTAAGGTTATAGATATTTTGTAATAAAAAATTGAAGGTAAAATGGTATATATATATTATATATTCAAGCACTGTTTGTACAGGCCCAAATCATGTTTGGGACGTCTTGATCGCGACCGTTGTTAAAGAAAAGCTGTCGTTAGTGATGGTTGACGTTTGTTTGCGGCCATCGCATATTTACGAAATTGGACCACCAACACAACAAAATCCACCTCTACAAGCAATAACTCAACAACTTGTGGTCACCAAAATCCTATCGGCCTCTTGCCATAGCAAACAACAACTCTTCACCATAGGAGATCGAGGAATCGAGCTTATCGCCTCCGAGAACTTCACCTCTTTCACCATCGACATCGAAGCCCTCGACATAGCACTCACCAATAAGTACTCCGAGGGCATGCCCAGCAACCATTTTAGATCTTAACCTCTTTCGTCGTCGACATCAAAGCCCTCGGCATCGAGCTTGTGATTCATCATTTTCAGATCTCACAAGTTTGTTTCTAACACGTATAGTTAAATGAGTATAAACCGATTATACGGATTGAACCACCTCAACCCAAATATAACACGATTAATTAAATGGATTAACCGGGTTGATCCGTTCACGACCCAAACCCATTTACGATCGACCCGAACCCATTGAACTCGTATCATGTTGGTGGGTCGTGTCAAACTTTGTCACTTCAACATCTAAAATATATGTGTGTGTATATACACATATTGAAATAAAAATCCTTTAAAGGATTAAATTACAAGCAATCAAAATTTTGAGATAAGAAACAAAATAATAATAATAATAATAATAATAATAATAATAACTAATCATCGAGAGATAGAACTAACACTTAATTTTCCCCAAATTTAGCATTTTGTCAATATCTAATTTACAGCCCTCTCAAGTCGCAAAATCTCATTCTCTATGACGTATTCCTACAAGATTGTTCCCCCTTCCAAATGAATCAAATAAACAAAATAAGCCATTTGAATAAGTGATTTTTGACTAGTAAGGAGACACTGCTTGGATTCGATTCTTTCGCTTTTGAAGGAATTGTTGCAATGATCTCTTCACAGAAAGGGCAGTAGGACTGCACAGTTGAGATTGTAGCAATGGTGAAGAGGGCTCCCAACTAGTTGGGCTCTTCAATTTTTCCTCCATTTCTCGACTTGCAAGCATTATGATGGCTCTAGCCTGCAATTTATATTATTTTATGAAATATTAGTATATCAATTACATATAAACAATATGGATAATGTACTTTGAGACATGGTTCGCCGTATTGACCGATACGCGACCCTTGAATTTTAAAAAATTATTTCTTTATATATTGTTATCTTCTTACATTTTTAAGACTCTTAAATCTATCTAAGTATAATTTTTCCTTCTTTCTTTTTTAGCACATGTATTTCACGGGTTTTTTTTTTTATCTTCTCTATCATTGCACCAACTTTATTTATTGTTGATATAAGATATTGAAAAAAAAAATACTTTGCTCAAAAAGGAAAGAATATGATTTTAAATAAAAACGGAAGACGATTTTAAATAAAAACTGCTATTTGATATTAATATATGACATTTAAAAGGTCATTTTGATATATTTAGCCTTACTACCTTAGCCTTCGTATTGTATCTAGCCATCTAGGCTATAATTTTCTCTATAGGCATGAAAGGTAAAATTGAAATCCTGCCAAGTCATCATTTTTATTGAGAATACTTTTCAAAAGTGATGTTATGGGTTTAAGAAAGAAAAATACACACACCCACACACACATATATATATAGCACCTAATTGAAAAATGGGGGCACTTTCAAATAGTGTAGATTGACTCATTGACATGCAATCCATGAAAAGTCTATGAAATTGCAGGTCAGTGTGTGTGTTTTTCACATATAGTAGACTATAGCTCCATCTAAAATTAATTCCCGAATTTCTTTTTAGTCATGAAGTGTCTGAGCCTTTTTGAATGGACAATTGCGTCTAAATTATACACTACATAACAAATATCAGTACGACCTGGATTCACGAAAATATGAATATGCATATGCATATAATTATCGACCTCCAAGTGTGACAAAAGGGATTCCTATGTACAACTAGAAATACCAGCTTGTGTGTGTGTGTATGTGTTGTGTGTGTGTGTGTGAGAGAGAGAGAGACACAAGAGGTGAAACACACCTGAAGCTCAGTTGCATCACAAACGCTGACCCTTCCTTTGTAGAAAATGGTTAGCTGTTTCTCCTCCGTTATGCTTTCAGTATTTCTAAAAACGCCCACCCTTCAAGAACAAAATGAAGAAAACAATCAGAATTATACAATTCGTATATATGTAAAAATAAGCATATATATATATATATATATATATATATATATATATAAGAGAGAGAGACTGACATAGGTTGTTGTTGTTGTTGATGGTGGGAATTGTAATCTGATGAATGTAGTAGATCAGAGGCCGTAGGTGGTACAAGTCGGAGTTCCAAATTACAATTCCTCCTCATTTTTAAGGCCACAATTTGAATTTCTGATGAAGAAACTAAGAGAGATCAAATTCTAAGATTTGAAGGTAATCAGAGAAAGGTGTGGCTATGTATATATATTTATATATATATAATTATATACATAAAGGTGAGCTTTTGGTCCTTCTGGATAACACGGAACGCACGCAACCTGAAATGACACTTGAAATTCGGCGGATGCTAATTGTGCCAAAATAAGCACGTGGAAAATGGTTTTTCAACGCACCAATAAAACCGCAACTTCAGTATTTCCTTTTCCTTTTTCTATTTATACACGTGGACAATTTAGCACGACTTTCTTTATTTTCCACCGGAAAAAAAGTTGGAAAGAAAATTCAAATTCAAATTAATCCTAAAAATTTTATTTTAATTTTATAAATTATTATATAGATGCATTTTTTTTTAATAAATGTAAGTGTGTTATTAGCGTGATTGAGTTATTTCCGTGTTGGTGTGTTGGAGTCTTGTAACATTCCTTTCTCCTATAGCCACTTTCTATCATCACTTGTAGCTTCATTTTTAATTGCATAGATGGCTCTACAATACCATTTTCTTTTAGTTGATTAAAATGCTATCTTTCTTTATTATTTTTTTATTTTGTGTGTGTGTCGGTAGTATTGATTGAAAATCATAAAACAAGACACTTTCATTTTTCATACGCTTCAATGGTTAGCCTTTTAAATTAGCCAATGGAGCACCAGCAAAAGTCAAATGTCATTCTTAATTTGATCACATTCATCCTAAAAAAAGTTGTTCTGGAATTTGTTTTTATTTATATTCTTTTAAGAATGTTTTAAAATAATAAATTTTACTAGGGAGACTAAAATATAGAATTGCAGTATAGATATATTATATAGGTTACCGTATATGTGTGTTGTGACTTGTGAGTAGTACTGCTTATTAATTTGTTAGTTGAGGTTGTAGTTGAGGTTGTAATGAAAAAGAAACATCACTACTAAAATAGTATAGAATTGCAGTATATTTATATTATATAGGTTACCGTGTGTGTGTGTGTGTGTGTGTTGTGGCTTGTGAGTAGTACTGCTTATTAATTTGTTACTTGAGGTTGCAGTGAAAACGAAACATCACTGTCTACTTTCAAGAATTCTACGACACCCTGGAATTACTTGCCCCAACAAGTCATTTTCATAATTAAAACAAACCAATTCATTGACGCAACCTAATTTTGGTTAAGTCCAAATTGCATTAAAAATCAATTTATATTGTCATGAAACTGACCTAAGTTTGTTTGGTTAAATCCAAACTTGCATTAAAAATCAATTCAATTTGTTATGGAACTGATGACATCAATAAGAATATGCGTGAAGTGCAAAAAAATATTTAAATAGTATGTTTATGGTGCATATTGCAAACTTTTCGTACAAAAAATACTCTTAAATTATGATATTTGGGCAAATAGACCTATTTATAAAAATTAAATTAAAATATCGTTAACAACACATTTTATAATATATATAAAAAAATATTTTGTAAAATGACTAAAAAGGGTTTGGCTTTCAACTTCATCATCTTGTACCGAAACCCCTTCAATGGACGCTGCTGCTCGGAGCTCGTCTGAACGGATCGCTCGTATCTCTGCACATGTCTTCATCTTCGGTTGGGCCAGTGATGCTCGGAGCTTCTCACCGGTGGCCACGGTTTGAATCGGGGTATGGAAAAATCAATATCCGGCAGTGGAGCTGTTGCTATCTGATATGGGTATGATTGTGGGTGCAGGAACAAAACAAACACAGTATAAATAATTAGGAAAAAAAAAAAAAAATCTATGCAACTATGCTGTTTTAAACAAACCCAGTACTTATTGTTAGAAAGATTTCAAAAAATTTAAGTTTTTAAGTATTTGAATGGACTGGTATAGCTTATTTAATCGATCATCAGATTCATTACAATAGAAAAAAATTTATAAGCTTTAATGGAGAAGTTGAATTGATTATAATACACCACTATAATATATATATATATATATATATATATATATATATATAATATCAATGAACTGTAACCCAACAGCTAATTGGATCTTTGATCCTTGGAGGTCACTTTCACACAAATCATGTAGTGTAAAAACACAAGTTTGATGAGTAAACCCAGTTCTCAAATTGAGGGTATGAAAACGGTAAGCTTTCTTGTTTCCTCCTTAAATTCGTAGTGGATGCATCACAGGGGAAGAAACTTACTACCATGTCGACTCCTTTAACATTTCTGATAATTTTTTCTGGCAACGAGGAAGGGGAATGGACGGCGGTAAATGAGTTTGCTTTATTTTTTTATTTTTATTTTTTTCGTTCTTCACGTTGAAGAAGATGATGACTAGAATGGAGAATTAAGGTATAGTAGGGGCTTTTTCTGGAAGAGAAAAAAGATAAAATGGGTATTATTTAAATTGAGGGGTGCTCACTGCTCACAAATTGAAAAGAATAGGGTATTTTTCGTACACCATTTTAAATAAGAGGTAAAAGCATTATGAAAGGTATACTTGGTGTGTTTCTTGCACTTATCCGTAAGAATATTTCTTAACTTTATAATAACATAAATGTAAATTCACATTAAATTTCTCAAATTTATTCGGAGAACTTTGTATCATTTACTAAAAAAATAAAAAAAAAAATTATTCAGAGACTTTGTATCATTATTCAAAAAAATATAGATATATAAATATAATTCGATCAGCATATAAATATATTGCACCGGATTTCCCATTCCATCCACTAATGTTATCCGATTGAATGATGAGTAAACCATTTCTTAGCTGTCTTCGTGTTTTCTGTACACATGCATGCAGCGGCCCTAAAAACGAACGACAATGCTTGGATCCTCCATTAAGGAGAATTCCATTTGATGTGATCTAATGACATAGAAACATGTGTCTAAAAATTAAAGAGGGACATTACCCATTCTTTATAGGTTAAACAGTGTTTTTTTTTTTTTTAACAAGATTATCCTCTATCGTTCTTCCTTCCTCTCTCCACAATAAAACATTTCTCTCTCTTTTTCTTCTTTTTCTTTTTTTGGTCTTACAGCCATGCAAATCTTAATTAACTAAATATAGAGAAAAAACAAAAATTCGAATTGGGTAGAAAATAGTAAATAAATAATCATTCATTGTCCAAACTTTTTCCATAAATAAATAATTATTTTCAACTCCAAAACAAAATAATCATTCACTTTTTAGTAAAGAGAAAAAAATATCAAAATTCTATAGAAATCATAGAAGAAATAATTATTCATTTTTTTTTTTTTTCGGCCATTATCATGTTTTGTAATGAATTTTATTAATTTTTTGTATTTATGATTGTCTATATGTAATATTAGATTGCTAGGTATACTGCCCCATGAATTGATAAAATTCCATAAGCATTGACTAAAACTTTTAGATTTTTAAAAGTAAATATATATAGTTTTATATTATAATGTTCCGTGTGAAATTATAAAAAATTTACACTTATTGAAGACCGTATACTTAGGGTTTTAGAGACTCATACTTAGGTTTTAAAGTGGAGGCAACCATAAACAGTGGTGGCAGCAAGCGTAGAAACTAGGGTTTCGGATAGATGTTAGATATGGAGATGGAAATGGAAATTTGTTTTGTTGTGAAGAGAGAGATGAAGATAGATATGTTGCCAAGGAAATTTGTTTTGTTGTGAAGAGAGAGATGAAGATAGATATGTTGCCAAAAAAAAAAAAAAAAAACGGCTTAATCCTTAAAAATGATTAATATCCATCTTTAATTTTTTAAACACATATTCTAATAACATTAAACCACATCAAAGACCTACACTATGGCAACCCCACCAGGCATATGAGTTGTTCCGTCGCATGGAAAAAAATATAAGCATTTATTTTTTTATTATTATCTTTTTTTTGGATAATGCTCGGTCGTCTAAATGCTTATATTTTTTTTCCATTTGACGGAACAACTCATATGCCTGGTGGGGTTGCCATAGGTCCGTAGGAGACTTGCTCATCTTCTTCGTGTTTCAGTCAGACTCGTGACCGTGATTGATGGTGTTAGCTTATGCCACGTGATTTTTTAAAGTCTTATAGTATATGTGTGTGCGTGTGTCAATGTGCATGTGCAAAGTTACAAGGCATGCAACATATATACTGAAAATAATAAAAAATTACACATGATAAATGCTCTAATATAATTATATTTTTATTGGGTCCAAAAATGCACTAATATTGAAACTACTAGTGTAATTTATGTACTTACCAAAAAAAAAAAAACTGTAATTAATTTTATCCTCAATCAACTGCGAGTAGTGGGCTGCTCAGGGCCTGTTGCTTCTGGTCAAGGAAGGCGACTACATGGAGCCATCAGGAAAATGATTACAATGATTCTTCTATTTTTGCCTTTCTCAATGCCATCCCAATTAAGCTTCATGTTATAAAATAAACAATAATAATTAAAATAGTCCTAACCTTAGTTTTTTCTTACCTTAGTTTCTAATCAAAATGTTAATCGTGCACAGAGAAATAAATAATAATTAAATAATGAAAGAAGAGCATGTGCAAAAGGAACAATTTCATTATTGACTAAAAATAGCTTCACGTTGAGTATCAAGTCAACTTCCCAACCTAACTTTACCTCCTGGAATTAGTCTTTATTTGATCTATTCCTTTTTATTTTTTAAAATTATTTTTGGTCTCTACTTAATTAACGCAACTCTTTTGACGGTCTATTATATAATTATATCTTCATTGGGTCCAAAAAATGCACTAATATAAAAACTAATACTCTAATTTATTTTACTCTCAGTCAGCCGCGAGTGGGCTGCTCAAGGTCTGTTCTTTCCGGTCAACGAAGGCGACTGCGTGGAAAATGGTTACAATGATTCTTCTATTTTTGCATTTCATAAGCTTGTTGTTATAAAACAAAAAATAATAATTAAAATAATCCTAACCTTAGTTTCTAATTTTTTTTTTTTTTTTTTTTTTTTTTTTTTTTTTTCTTACCATATTGTCTAATCAGAATGTTAATCGTGCACAGGAAAAATAATAATAATTAATCGTGCACAGGAAAAAAGAATAATGAAAGAACAACACGTGCAAATTTT